TTTATTTTTAATTAGGATAATTGATGCTTCGACAGATTAATTTTCCTTTCTTCGAAGTTAATAAATTGTTAAATTTTTTTTCATTTTTGGAAGTTGACCATCAAAGAAGTAATTGAAATCATTTTCATTAATTACTTATGATATTAAGAAAAATTCTATAATAACCGAAATTTAAATAAGGGCCATATTTCACAATCTAAAACTTATTGAGTATTTGATTGTGATTTTTTGTTGTTCTGATTAATAGCTGATGAGGAGAGTGCTATTTTGCCTCATAAAAGACCAATAGCAGAACCATGTAAGGCAATATAATGTCTTTTAAAAATAAAAAAGTGGTTGAGTAATACTTATTATTATGATTGGTTTGAAAAATTTAATTCATCATATTCTGCTGGGATAATTAAAAACAAGAGTAATTTTAATAACCTTCTATCTTTATGAGCATAAGGATTAAAAGAATTTTTCAATAAATAAGAGAGGCCTTATTAAAAATTAACCCAGTATTCAATTTAAATGTGTAGTAGACACCATTAGTAATAAATTGAAGATTAAGATCTAAATTCACTAAAATCTTTATTATATAGAGAATAATAAAAATATAAAAAAATTAAATTAAAATAATAACGTTAATAAAATTATTTTCTGAATAAAGAACTTTAAAAAAAAAATTATGTAATTCTTTGCAAGTATGAATAAGTAAATAAGAAAAATTAATCATTCTAAAAGGATATTTAAATTAAAAAAAAAAAAGCATATTAAGCATTAATTAATAAAATATTATATTAATGTTCATTTTAAAAATATGTCAATAATCATAAAGAATTTCATTTTGTTTTATTTACTGAGAAAATGAGGTTTCGGTTATTTTTACCCATTTACCAACTTTCTTACCATTTTTATATTAACCTCTATACGTGACTTACGAACTTCCTTTAAATAAATCGGATGACTCAATCCAATTTCCAGTTTTACATCCATCACCACTCTAATCATATAATCCGCCACCACTAGAAAAATGAACATAAATATTTAGTAAAATAATTCTACATTTTTTTTCCACGATACAAAACATCCCATCTACCAATCTATTTACCATTTTGATATTCACCATGATACGTGATTTTAGATTCTTCAGTAAACCCTTCTCTCAATTCAATCCATCCATTAATCTTAACTTCATTTCCTGATTGATCATACGATCCACCTCCACTAAAATATTTCATATTTTATTTACATCTTATAATTATTTCCATATTAATTCCAATAAATATCCCATCTACCAACTTTCTTATCATTTATATATTAACCATCAAAAGTGATTTAAGAAGTCCTTCTAAATTCATGACTTAACTCAATCCATCTACCATTTTTATATCCCTGACCAGTTTCATTATATAATCCGCCACCACTAAAATAATCCGCATAATATTTAATAATAATTTTACATTAATTTAGGTTTGTTCTCATAATGGTCTTGAAAATAAATATCCCATTTACCAACTTTTTAACCATTAATATATTCACCATCATAAATGACTTGAGATTTCTCATGAAACCCATCACTTAGGTCTCTCCATTTACCATTTTTTTAACCTTGTTCATTGTATTATCCACCATTTCTATTAATTTATAAAATAAATACAATTTTTTTTTATTGTAAATATACATCCAAACCCCTCTTTTCTAACCATTTATATATTATCCAACTTCAAATACTTATGCTTTGCTATTTATAATTATCATTTAATTAGTATTTACTTCCAATAATTCTAAATTGGTTCTTTCCATAGCCCATACTTTAATCCATTTGAGTAGTACCCACCAACATCTTAAAGAACTTTTCCATTCCATTTAGCTATCCACTTACCTATTTTTTTATTGTTTTGCTCAAATTCACCTTACCATTAAAAGTGTTTGACTTATTCTATATTTGTGAATATTTATTGGACCTTGAAATCTTCTTAAATTGATTCACTTTTTAACGTAATAAATAGTCATTTACATTCTCAATAATCTTCCATTAGAGAAGTACATGATTTAATTATCTTTTGTAATTGTAATCACAATTTCAGTCTTTATCAATCTCTACTCTCTTTCATCCCACTTTTCTAGCAAAATATTTTTGAAGACTGGTTTCTAAATTGTTGACTTTGTGGATATAGATTTGTTTAACATTTATGGATTCATCTTTATAGTTAATTAATTGAATTTCCATCATTAAGCAATTTAAGTATTTTCAAAAGTGTACAGAATTTCAGAAGATATGAAATTTTATTATGAATCTGAATATGGGAATTTTATTCATGTTTTTGAAATTAGGATCAAAGTTCTTGTTTTTTTCAATCAAATGACTTTGTTTCTTCAATCTCAATAATCTAATCTATTTCACAGAGGAATTACTTTTTTATAAATTTTAGCATCTTTATTTATTTTTAATTCATTCAAATAGTTATTTTCATAAAACATTATAGATTTCTAAAGTACTAAAAGTTCTGTATCATATTAAAAATTACAAAATTATAAATCCAACTTTAATGATAAAGTAATT